GCATATATCTATTCGTGTGATGGCTCTTATTTCTCTAGGATATATTCCAAGGAGCAGGATTGCTGGATTGTACGGTACTTCTATCTCTAGCTTTTTAAGGAAGCGCCAAATTGATTTCCAAAGTAGTTGTACCATTTTACGTTCCCACTAACAGTGTATAAGTGTTTCAGTCTCTCCAAAAGTGAGATTTCTTGATTAAATGATTAACAAACTAGAGTCATATAGATTTCCTCTGCAAAAGAGAAACTCATCTGATTAAGAAGTATTTTAAAGGAGACAGTTATTTAACCAAAGCACTGTTAGCTCTCACTGAGGTTTAGAGTTTATTTCAGTGAGGATTTTGAAAATCTTCAAGTATCAGAAAATGTTTTCCCACATCTTGGCCATAGAAAGAAAATATAGAACGTAATTATTTTTTTCCTCTCAAGCTGTGATTCTTAACCTGATTGAAACAATTCTTGGTAAATGTAGTTATTGGAGACCCCTCACAATAACTTGAAAACTCCCCAGGAGTTTCCATGTGTTGAGGATAAAACTTTCTCTCCAGCCAAACAGTTCTACCCGCTATTCCCCAAAGACAACTTACATTTCCTTGCCTTGTCCTTTTTTGTGTGATTCTCTTTGAATAGAATATCTCCTTACATCTTTTACACTTTCTCCATTTCTACCTATTGATATCTTCCAAGGCCCAGACCAAATACCACCTATTCTATTAGGTTACTAGTAATTACTATCTACATATGTACTAGTTTTTATAGTAACTACTTGAAAATTTATTTATAGTTAAACTGTAAGATTTTAGAGGGCAAGAGCCATATCCTATGCCTTCCATGTTACCTGGCATGATGCCTAGCATATGATTGTCACTAAATGAATATTTCTTCATTATAATTATATTTCAGATATTCAAATTAAGAATCTATAATTTGGAACAATTCTCTTTTTCTGACCTAATCAAATTATAGAAGACTAGGAAAATGAGTCAGGTACTCTATTTTGAGAACCGAGTTATTCAAAATTTTATAATTTACCCAGGTACAATAAAAAAACAATTACAGGCAATTCCTGGATTACTAACAAGTTCCATTCCTAAGTTTATCTTTAAGTTGAATTTGTACATAAGTCCGAACAGTCTAAGGTCAGTTAGTCAAAGTTTGTCTTAATATTTAGTAAATAATATACTCTGTACTTAATATATAGTATATAGTATACTATATACTTTGTATTTAATATATAGTATACAGTGTACTCTATACTATGTACTTTTTATGCTTAAAAAAATTAAAGAAACATTTCCAGCTGTACTAAAACATCTTTAACATAATGATACAGTAATAATAATAATAATGGTTTGATGCATTTGTTATTACAAACCATTGTACATACCTTCTCGACAGTTGAAGAGATACCTACAGGGCAAACATTACTCAAAATACTCAAAAGATTTTGTTCCGTAAAATCTTTGAGAGCAATTAGATACTTTATTGTAGACTCTGAAACAAAAATCTACGTTGTACTGCCAGACCGCATTTCAGCTGGGTTTTGAGCCCTTAAGCTCCGCGGTTAACCAAAAAGTCGGCAGTTCGCTCCTTGGAAACCCTACGGGGCAGTTTTACTCTGTCCTATAGGGTTGGGTCGCTATGAGTCGGAATTGACTGATGGCAACGGGTTCAGCAGAGGCAGGGAGAGTTAGGGGCCTGTGGGTAGGATGATGCTATGGTCAGACACCTCCACACTAGACCTGTCAGCCCCACGCAACAACTATGAGGCCCCTGCCCCAGGATGCAAGGGAGAAAGTGCTTGCTCAGGATGTGCCAAGAGCGAGCCTGGGGAAGAGGATGCTTAGGGAAACCCAAGTCCAGAGTTCTCCACGACCTCTGGAAACCATGTGGACATACAAAGTTCAGGAATCTAGGGCTGCCCCCGCCCTCCTCCCCCCCCTTCCAGCCACCAGAAGGTCAAGAAACGCTGCAATAGTGAAATGCCACATAATGTTAGGTAGGGGAAATAGAAGCCCGGAGAGGTGTTGCGATGGCCTTGGGCACATATCACTGAGGGCCTGGCGGATAGGGTGGGGTGGAACTGGGTAAGGGGGCGCCGTGAGGCCCAGCTGCGTGCCCAGCACTGAGCACAGACCGGTTGTATTCCGAGAACACTTACGGCGTGGCGCCTGGGCCCAGGCTGCAGACTGCCACCACCTGCAGGCCCACCGGGGAGCAGAGCTGTGGTGGTTGGAGTATGTAGACCGTAGACTGTGGGACCCGCCCTTTCCGAGCTCCACAGGAGCCAGAGGCATATGAGCTCTCTGCTCACTGTTGCTGGCCTCGGCTGGGCGCACTGTGTCTAAGAAGCCCGCCTGCCACCAGTGGCCTTCCAAAGACCCGCTGCGGCACCTGTGCACGCGGGAGAAGAGCGGCCGGTTTTGAGGGACTGGGGCAGCACACCGAGTCAGTTTTTTCCTGATAGATTTTACCAGGATTGGTTCGTAACTACGGGCTGTACGTCCGACGGTTCATAACCTGGGGACTGCTTGTGTGTGACGTAGTAACTGCAAGTTTTTCATACAGAAATATAGATTGAAACTAGCAAAAATACACTCATTTTCCAAGAAATTTCTTATTTCTAAGGTAAAATTGTTTGAATCATTTGATCTTTTTTATATATAAACTGCTGATTACAATAGAAGTCTTTATATCCAGTGTAGTTTAGGTAATTCATCAATTAATTACTAAAGTTGTTTAAAGCAGAGAGGCATTAAAGAAATATATCCCGATTCCAGCTCATAGACTGTAATTTAAACACGTATCATTCACTTGTCAATCACCAGTCTTTTTGAAATAAGGCCTCTTCTTTTGACTGTGGGTCTGATGTTTGGAGTTCATTGTTGCTCTTTCTAGCATATGTCACCACAGTGCATTATCCACTGTTCACAGTGTTGGTTCTTTAAATAGGAGCGAGAATCTAAAGAATTTTTTGAAGTAATCTGAGCATAGAATCTTTCCAGGTTTTTATGTTTGTTAACCACTCCCATATTTTACAACTTCCTCACCTTCTCCTAAGTTAACAACACTTTATTGTAGTGACTTGCCTTTATGGAGCCTTTCTGAAGTATTCAACATAGATTTTACACAAGGAAGTCTCCTTTCATGGCACAATTATATACAATCGTTTTATTTAATATTTAATTAAATTATAAAATATAATCACACGTGTAATGGGCATAAACAGATTTGAGAACAAGCACAACTGATTCTTAACAAGTAGTAATTCAACTGGTTGGAGAGAAGCACTTGAGGCATACTAGAGAGTAGTAAAGTAGCTGCCAGTACTAGTATTCAGCATGACATAGGCAGTATGACATAGGAAGAACAACTATTAATCTGGAGACTAGTTAGAAGAATTTCTGTTGATACTATTGTCTTTCTGATATTGTTTCATAGAAAAATTGAGAATAAGTATTTTATTCATAATTAAATAACTTTACCCTGTGTGTTAGCTGAAGAACAATGAGTTAAAGATATGGGGGAGCGGGGAAGGCGGGAGAATAAATAAGACTCTGCTGGGAAATAGCTTTATTTACTGGTGCAGGGTTAAGCGCTTGGCTACTAACCAAAAAGTCAGTGGTTCAAACCCACCAGTTGCTTGGCAGGAGAAAGATGTGGCAGTCTGCTTCCGTAAAGATTTATAGCCTTGGAAACTCTGCTCTTTCCTATAGGGTCACTATGAGTCGGATTTGACTCAATGGCAATGGGTGTTTTTGGTTTTACTGGTTATGTTGTGTTACTTCAAGGAAAGCTGCCAAAAATCTATATATAGAAAAATAGCGTAACACACCTAGCCTATTTCAGGTGTGTTTGCTTCATTTTTGTATTTATGGTGATTTTTTTTTTTTTGAGGAATTCATCTGTCTTTAAAAGTGTTGAAAGAATGATATGCAAGAGGGAGTACAAAGTTGGGAAATGCATTTCTTTTTTGCCTTTTGGAAACTGACCTAAGGATACTCTCATATCTCTGATAGTTATTTCAGATTAAAATTTTGTGACAAAATATCAGAATATGAAAGTAGGAGGAATTAAAATCAGCTGATAATACTGTAGAGATGAAATTGAAGAATAGGTGGATAGAAGGATTCCTGTAGTACAATTGGAATTTGTTTTCACATGATATTTAGAGCTGGAACAGTCCTTAGATACCATCTAATCAAGTATTTTCAACGCTGGCTATTCATCTGAGTCATATTTACAGAAAAAAACAAATTGTTAAATATTACTATAATTCTTATAAGTTATCCCAGCCTTCTTCTTTAATGCAGTGACCTCATTCAGTTAATCTAGTGTTTATTTCCTCCCATTGTTTTAATAATTATCTCATTAATATTTTCGGTAATGTGATAAAATGACTGTGAAGGGAGATCATGTGAAATTATTTTCAGACAATATTTTTAATAACATTCTATTGTAAAAACAAAACAACAGTTTCAAGGAAATTTTTGGCATAGTATAATATTGAAAAATCCAATTACTTACTTTCAGGGCTTCTTTTATTTTTTTGATTTTTCGGAAACTGTATTTGAGCAATATTTGCCTACAGAGCTTTCCAAGTTCCTGGGAATTTTCCCTGAAATATTAAGACATACTCAGAAGAATTCCATTATATGAGCCTATTGATTCACTGACCTTTAACGCAGGATATTTGTTTTGCTACTGAAAGATAAGCTAGAATGAAATTAAATAAAAATATGAGCAATAATTTTTCTCACGTTAAAACTGCATAAGTATGTTTTGGTGGGTTTAAATTTCATCTAGAAAATAAGTTTGTTTTATTGTGGTAAATATATAGATAACAAAACACTTGCCATTTCTACAGTCTTCACATGTACTGTTCAGTGACATTAATTATGTTCATCACGTTGTTCGGCGATTAGAAAATAAGATATTTTTAGAATTTTAATTTCTGATGTTAGATTTGCCTTTTCACATTTTGATCTCTTACTTTTCCAGAGTTTTGAAGGTGTTTCTTTCACGAACAGCCCAACGAATTCCATATATGACGGGTGGACGCGTCATGAGAATGCTCGCAGTCATCCTCCTGGTAGTGTTTTGGTTTCTTGTTGGCTGGACATCGTCTGTATGCCAGAATTTGAAAAAGCAGATTTCACTTACTGGCCAGGGGCAAACATCTGATCACCTCATTTTCAATATGTGCCTCATAGACCGATGGGATTACATGACAGCAGTTGGTATGTAGTCAGTTGCTTGGTGTGATTCTCTTGTCTTTTTCCACTAACATCAGAGGTGTAACTATGAAAAATAGGGCCTATGGCAAGCACTGAAAGTGCGCCCCTGCAGGGGTGTAACAAGGGTAACAAGCACCTAAGGGCAATCTCTAAGTTGTGCCCCCCCCATTTCAAGATGAATAAACTTTCATAGCGGCGATGAATAGATGTTGATGCATGAACAAAAACGCCTTATCCCCTCTTGTCCACCTGCTTCAGTCAGGCACCTTTCATATTCATGGTGCCTCCAATGTCATTCCATGCGGTGTCTGGCATCCCCTTGGAATTGCACCTAGGACCAAGTATCCCCTCTGCCCCAACTCGCTGTGCCTCTGTGTCTGTTGTGCTTGAGGAAGGATGTTGGGCCTTACTGGGTTAACATCAACTGCTCGGTGGTAGGCTCCCCCTCCCCCTTCAAGTGGCACCTAGGGGCACGTGCCATACCTGCCATAGCTTAGATATACCTCTGAGTCTAGCATTAAAAATGACTTCTTTAGAAGCCTTGTCAAACATTTTCACAAAGCCCTAAGTAATTCTGCCTAATATGGTTTCAGTAAAACAACATTAAGAAAATGATAATAATGACATGTAGAATGCAAACTTTTTCTGGAAGTTTACATTCTTTTTCAAAGGTATGTAACTTTGTTGAGAAAATATAATCAAATTAATCAGAAAGGAAAAATGCAGTGAATAAAAGCAACTTCTTTGTACAAAGAGTCTTTCTGCTTTCTATCTTATCAATTAGTCCCTGTTTGATCAATGGGAGCTATTCTCTCGACTTAGTTCTTTAGTTGGGAGGAAAAAGGAAGCCTGCTGGTATTTTTTATATAGTTTTGGCATAGGGCATATAAGACTAGGTGTCCAATGCATTATTTTATGAATAGATTGTCCCTGCAAAATTTCTGATTAACCTCTTTCCTATGCTTATCTCTAAAGATAATTTATTGGTCATTCTCTAGAGGTCTAGTATTGTACAATGACAAATACATGCTATTTGGGGGTAATAAGAGTTACGTTGCTGAAAAACTGGAGAACATGAAAGAATTAACATGATCACTTGGGCCCAAAATACAGATTATTCTTTTGACACCCCAGTTTTTTAAAAAATGAAGACAGGAAATCCATAAGAAATTTTCTGTTGCTAATGCTAGGCTATTTTAAGCTAAGCCTCCAAAGATATATATATATATATGTATGAAGAATGAAAACAAATCTTATTATTTTTGTTGGTGGTGTTCTACCTCAGTAAACCACAGAACAAACCTTAATTTTATTTGGCACATGTCAAAAATAAAAACATGAGTTTAATTCCCAATTTCTGACTCCCCCATATTAGCAATTGTTTGATATTCACAACTAGTCTTTTGCTAAAAGCGAATAAAATGTGTATTTAGTTTGCAATTCAAATAGAGGAATATTTTTCTGAGGAAGATATTTTAGGAATCTTATAGGCCTGATATCTGTAATTATAAAACAATGTGATTATGTAAAGGGAATGGTTAGAGTGATAAGATATAAAATAAATCATCTTATTTTGATCAATATTGCTATTAGAAGATAAAGCATAGAACTAACGCAGGAAGCAATTCTGATTTTGATTTTAGTCTGGATATGAAAATTAAAAAATTGTACAGATATGAAATTTCCCTTGAACAGAAGCCTCTAACTCATTATTTTACACCCTTTATTCCAAGTTAAGGAGTGCTGGGAGCACAATGGTTAAGTGCTTGGCTGCTAACCAAAAGGTCGGTGGTTCAAACACACCCAGTGGCTCTATGGGAGAAAAGACCTGGCCATCTGCTCCCATAAAGATTCTTGTTGTTGTGTGCGATCAAGTCAATTCCACCTCATCGCAACCCTGTAGGACGAGCAGAATTGTCCCATAGGGTTTCCTAGGCTGTAATCTTTAGGGAAGCAGATCGCCGGGTCTTTTCTCCACCCAATCGGCTTGTGAGTTCAAACTTCTGACCTTTTGGTTAGCAACTAAGCACTTAACTATTGTGCAACCAGCCTAGGAAATCCTATGAGCCAGTTCTACTGTTATTTAGGATCATCATGAGTCAGGATAGACTGGACAACATACAGCAACAACAATACAGTTAACCAAACTAGGAAAAATTATTTCCTTGTATTTCTGTGGTAAAAAAAAGCCCACTAGATGTCTTTTCTGTTTTACAAAGAAAATAATACTCAAAATACATGATGAGACATCACTGAGTAGCGATAAACAAGGAGAAAGCATGGCCTATTCACCTAGCTTTTTTTTTTTTTTTTTTTTTTTGCATTCTTTGTTCTTTACACATTGGTTTTGAGATGTATTCAGGCTATTTGTTTATGCACTCTGAAGAGGATCACTTTTGTGATCTCTATTTAGAAATAGCAAGGAATATATGATTGATACTAAACTGCAATTGATTTTACAGAAATTTTCTTTATAGTCAAGTAAGAATTGTATACAATCAACGAGATCCACTGAGTACCTATGATTTCTCTAGTACTGTGTTGAACACTTTGTGCGAGAAATAAAATGTATAAAAGCCTTGTTCCTCTCATTCACTAGCTTACTATTGGTTTGTATAGACAAATTAGCATTGTTAAAAATTATTAAAAGCAAAATTAGGTAGTAAAGAGTCTTGGTGCAATAATAGTTCGATAAATGAATGTAACAGTTTAGACCAGAACTCAGGAATTTTTATAAAGGAGAAGTTCTCTGAGCCATGGGTAATATTTAGATTATTGTAAAGAGGAGAGAACACGCCATCTGATAGGAATAATAGCAGATGGAAGGGGGAATTGTATGAAACATGAAGGAAATGCCTATCTTGAAGAAAGGATGTGTGTTAAAATACATTGTGAATAATACTGGATGGTTAAGTTTATAGTGGGTCTTGAAAACATGTTAGAGGAAATTTCAGAGCCAGGAAAGTAATGCGATAAATCAGTGAATTCAATCTAAATATATTCTTTCAGGATGTATTTTTTTAAGTGAAATATACCACAGTTTTGTAGTTATAATCATTTGAAGGAAGACTTAAACCAGTGGTTCTTAAAGTGTGGTGCTCAGAATGAGCAGCAGCAGCATCACCTAGGAACTTGTTAGAAATGCAGATTTTAGGGATCTGCCCCAGACTTCTTCAGTCAGACACTTTGGAAGTGAGGCTCAGCAATCTGTGTTTTTAACATACCCTCCAGGCGATTCTGATGTTACTATAAAGTATAGAACAACTGACTCAGAAGAAGTAATCAGATGAATGTACAGAAATACAGTGATCACTAATCTCACTTATGCTCTGAGCATTCCTTAACACTGTTAATGTTTCCCTCATCAGCCACTCTACCATTCTTGTCCGTGATTACTTTAGGGCCATATCCTCTCTTCATACCTCCAAACTATCCAAGTTCCCTTTTTCTCTTAAGAAATGACTTCTACTTGAGATATATATATATAGTTGTTGTGTGTCATCCAGTTGATTCATAGTGACCCTATATGACAGAGTAGAACTGTCCCATAGGGTTTCTACACTGTAATCTTTATGGAAGCAGGTAGCCAGATCTTTTCTCCTGTGGAGCAGCTGGTAGGTTTGAACTGCTGACCTCCAGTGGCCAAGCACATAATCATTTGCGCCACCAGGGCTCTTTAAATGTTCCTATATCCCAACCATTCTTGAAATCTTTTCTTCCTCATACGATCTAAGCTAACTCCTCAACCAGCTCATCCAAGACCATGATCCCCTTGTCTCCAGTGATCTTTCTCACTTTATATGACCTTGCTGTTATTGGAAACTCCCCTACCTCCAAAGTCACTCATTGAGGAATTCCACCTGGCCACAACTTTCTCTCCTAGCTCGTTTGTTTACTCCCTCTGCACTAGCTCTTCAGTTAATAGGCAGTTTTCACTGTCCTTAAAAGAAAAAAAAAAAAAAACCCGTTGCCATCAAGTCGATTCCAACTCATAGTGACCCTATAGGACAGAGTAGAACTGCCCATACGGTTTCCAAGCAGCAGGAGTGGCTTGTGGATTCAAACTGCCTACCTTTTGTTTAGCAGCCAAGCTCTTAACCACTGTGCAACCAGCACTCCTCATTGTACTTTATTGCCTCTAAAGTCTGCTGTTCTTCAGAGACAAAGCTTAACTTAAGGGCTAGCAAATTTTTCCATTAGTGAGGAGTCAACTATGAAAACTGGGCAGCTTTATATGTTAATTCTGGATAATAGCAAGAAAGGGGACCTAGAGCCTGAGAAGGACCCTGAGGTCACCTCCTGACCCTGAGGTAGGTAGTGCATGAGACACTAAAGATCCATAGCTTGAGAAGACTGCATAGGATGTAGTTCCTCAGGCAATAACCAGGTCTCAGATAAGGCAAGGAGGTAGAGGGAAGCCAAGAGAAGAGATTAATTATGGTAGTAGGACCTACGTCATAGCTTTAGGAGTGAGAATGAAGTAGCAAGACTTAAGAGACAGGAGTTGGTTAAAGAATACTCCCTAAGGTATTAGGTGATAACGTTAGGGTCTCTTAGAAAATCAAAGACTAGTGATAAGGGTACAGGAACCAAGTGGTAGGAGGAAGTTTAATTTTGCTGTTATTGTTGTTGTGATAATGTTCTCATCTCGCAGACATTGTTTTCCTCCTGTAAACTACTGAAACACCTTAGTTCTGGTAATGTGATGTTCTTGCGGTGATACCATTCTAAAGAAAGTCAGGACACATGATTTCACAACAGGAGCAAAAATTGGAAATTAGGACTGTCTTGAAAAATCTCAGACATGTGATTGCTGTAATTTTTTTAACACTACGCTACAACAATTTTCATTTATTTCTCTTTCAACACGTAGCATTAAGATATTATGCATTTAACCTCTCTTAATTTAATGCTTTCTAACGTATAGCATATGCGTCTTTTTAGTTCTCATTATATAGTTTGCTAAGTAGCATATTTACTATTAGATTTTTTAATATTTAACT